ATACCATCATGCCTGGCTAGTTTTTCAAAAAATTTTTTTGTAGAGACGAGGTCTTGCTCTGTTGCTCAGGCTGGTCTCCAGCTCCTTGGATCAAACTATTCTCCTGCTTCGACCTGCCAAAGCACTGGGATTGCAGGCATGAGCCACCATGCCTGGCCAGTTTTCTAATCTTCAAAATAGGGGCATTAATAATGCCTACATCATGGGGTTGCTGTGAGAACTGAGTGAGATAAAGCATGTCTGTCATATTGTAAGTGCTGCTTATTATTATGGTACATGCATATAGTATGATATTCAGATGAATTTTAGCATGGAAAGATACTCAGAATGTATGTGTGTGTGATATTTAAAATCCCAATCTACGAAATAGTATGTGCAGCAGACTCTGGGTCTAGAAAAAATAAAACATTCAAAAACTTACTGTGGTCATCTCTGCTCCCCCCACTTAATAATGAACATGTATTGCTTTATAACGAGAAAAAAAGTGAGTTGCTGTTAAAAAAATTAAGATGAGTAGGCAGAGCACAGAGGCATTTTAGGCCAGTGAAACTACTCTGTATGATACTGTAATGGTGGATACATGTCATTATACATTTGCCCTGACCCATAGAATATACAGCACCAGGAGTGAAACTTAATATAAACTATAGACTTTGGGTGATGATGATGTGCTGATGTAAGTTCATTAATTATAACAAATGTACCACTGTGGTGAGGATTGTTGGGGTGGCTGTGCATGTGTCAGGTAGGTCTATATGAAAACTCTGAAATTTCTGCTTGATTTTGTTGTGAACCTAAAAGTACTCTAAAAAATAAAGTCTATTAGAAATAAATAAATAAAAATCAAATATCAATTCTTTGTTTTTGTGATAGATTAACTAGTATGATGGTCTCTAACTCTATTCAATTTGCTGTGAAGTCTGTGATTTTGTTCTTTATGACTGCATAATACTCCATCGTGTATATATACCACATTTTCTTTATCCAGTCCACTTTCCATGGGCGGTAGGGCTGGTTCTGTGTTTTTGCTATTGTGAATAGTGCAGCAATAAACATGCATGTGCAGGTATCTTTTTTGTAGAATAATTTATGTTTCCTCTGGCTATGTTCCCAGGAGAGAGATTGCTGGATCATATGGAAGGTCAAGTTTTAATTCTTTTAGAAATTACCACACTGCTTTCCATAGAGGTTGAATTAGTTTGCATTCCTACTAATAGTGTAGACGCGTTCCCTTTTCTCCAAACCCACACCAGCATCTGTTGCTTTTGACTTATTAATAATAGCCATCCTTATTGGAGTTAGGTGGTATCTCATTGTAGTTTTGATTTGCTTTTTTCTGATGATTAATGAGGCTGAGTATTTTTTCATGTGTCTGTTGGCTGTTTGGATGTTGTAATTCGGGAAGTGTCTGTTCATGTCCTTTGCCCACTTTTAAAAAAATTTTTATTTTTTGAGTTGGAGTCTCACTCTGTCACCCAGGCTGGAGTGCAGCAGCATGCTCACGGCCACCAGCTTCAACCCGCTGGGCTCTAGCGATCCTTCCTCCTCAGCCTTCCAAGTAGCTGGAACTACAGGTGTGCTTTACTGCTCCCAGCTTATTTTTTATTTATTGTAGAGATGAGGTTTCACCAAGTTGCCTGGGCTGGTCTGGAACCCTCGGACTCAGGTAATCCACTAGCATCAACCTCCCAAAGTGCTGGGATTACAGGCTGAGCCACCGAACCTGGCCCTTTGCCCACTTTTGAATGGGATTGGTTTTTTCCTCCCTTTCATTTCGTTTGAGTTCCTTGTAGATCCTGATACCGCATGTTCTCACTCATAGGTGGGCCCTGAACATGTCACATTATTACAAGGGAGGTATCATCGGCAGTTGCTGGGCAATGTTAGGGGAGGGAGGGAAGGAGGTAGGGAGGAAGAGAGGGAGGGAGGAAGGGAGGGGGGAGGGTGGGAAGCATGTGACAACACAAAGGGTACCTGGTCCACTACCAGTGAAGTGAGGGCCAGTTAGAAGCCCAAACTTCATCTACATGCACTGTACTTGTGCAGTTAATCCTCACTTGTTCCCCACATCTCTATAATAAAATAAGATACAAGATCAAATAGGAAAAAAAAGAAGAATTCTGGGTAGCAGGAGACAGCCTAGTTTTATAAATCTATTGCATACAATCTAAGTTGTTTATAGATAATTATTAAATGATGAATTCTAGAGTGTTTGATGATGGTGGTGATAATGGTGGTATTAAAAAGGTACCATTTATTGAGCATATACTAAGTGCCAGGCACTGTGCTAAGCATATTACATACACTCTCACCATTATCATGTTTAATATAAATAGGTGATTGAAAGAAGAGCTCTGGTATGTTGTTCATAACAAATCATATATCCAATGTATCCCTATAATGTAAGTTTTATCCAGAAAATTTTTCTGACTTTTGTGAGAAGGGTCAGCTAGTAGCATTATTGATTTGAATTGCAAATTTCCCTAAAATATCAACACTGGAACATGATGAGTTACTGGCCAGTCAATAGTCCACAGCTGTCAGATACCTCCTTTTTTATCCCCATCCTTTGGATAGCAACTGAACCAGGCTCAGGGTTGATGAATATCTATGTCTATTTCAGAGTTAAATGATGCTCTTAGATATAATCTGCTCTTCATATATATGTATCAGAGTAAATCATTTCCATAGTTCAGATTTTTTTGAGCATGGCATTTAAAGCTTTCCAGCATCTTCACCCTTGCAGCCTCAGAGTCTTCTCTCCCTCCATGGGCTCCTGGCATTCTGTTCCCTCAGGACCAGTAACCTTTCCAAAAACTTGCTAAGCACTTCACTCTTCTGTTGCTTATGCTGTCTAGCTCCTCATCCTACAAGGCCCAACTCAACTTTCTTATCTTTCTCCCACCTCCCACCCCCTATGCACATCCACTTAGTCTTTACTTTTTATTCCCACCCCACTTTGCCTCCATTTAACATGCATTTTCTTGCCTTACTTACAGTATTTGCTTCCCTGACTGGTTCTTCAATGGATTGTAAGATTTTTGCAGGCAATAACTATGGCTTATTAGTGTTTGTTTTTTTTTAACTCTCCTTCCCCTCAGAGCAGAAGAACCACTTCTTAAATATAATAAGGCCTCAAAAGATACTGAAATACTTTAGAGTTAGCCATATTTTTACAATAGTTAATTATGGTGAAGTAGTTTTTATTAAATGCCAAATATAATTTATATATAGTGAATTTTTAGTTAACCACATACAAATTTTCTGTTGTTATTTTTATAGCCACAGCTATTTCTTCTACCTTTTAACAAATGATTAGACAAAACAAACTGGTTTTAACACTTTAACCAAAATATAGTTAGCAAGGTAATATGGTCCTTAAGAAGTCATATGATACATTTTAAAACCCAATAAAATTTCAGACTATCTGCTTCATAAAAACATGTGATTACCCAAGACACTTTTTAAGTGCTCATTTTCTCTCCACATATGAACTCACTCCTCTTATTGTCTTTCTTGGCCACCATTCACCTGTTGGTTGCCCTAGGGATCTTAGGTGATCTGACTCTGATCATTTCTCTGATATGCCTCCTTCTCTTTATCATGCAAATCCTCACCATCTGTGTGTGACCTTACCTATGAGCCTGTCTCTAGTTCCTCTTCCCTCAATGGGTTCCTTATGATGCTGCTAGGGTTACTTTTCTAAAGCAGATCTGATCTTATTAAAAAGAACTTTGAGGTTTAAGAACTCAGAGGAACCTATGCTTTGGGTTTCCTATTGAACCCAAAGGCTAAAGTTCAAAAGCTACAATCTGGTTTCAACCAAATTTCCCCCAATTTTTTCCCTGCCACCCTGAATCTCTCTGTCCCTGAACATGCCTCTTTGCCTGAATGTTTCTTCCCACTTCTTAAAATACCCTCCCAATTCTTTTCCATCTAATGAATTGCTACCTCCTTTATGAAGCCTTCTCCAAGAACCTAGACAGGGTTAGTTCTCTGTCCTTTGAACTCCCACAAATAATAACTCTGTTCTGGAACTAGACTGTGGCCCAGTTTCCTCTAACTAGACTTTGACTTGCTCAAGGACAGAAAAATATCTTATTTATTTTTGGATCCTAAGGGCCTACCTAGCTCAGTGCTTTAGCACATAGTAAGTGCTTGTGCTCATGCAAAATATTGAATATACAACTCAATGTGCTCTTGAAATATAATGTGAAAGTGAGATATGGTAAATTCATTATCTGACATTTTTAAAAAAGGTACAGAAAGGATGGATAAATGAATTCTGAAGGTAATTTTCAAGCCTCATTTTTGCATTTAGCTTTAAGTCCCCCCATTCTTTCATTCCCCTCATAAGCTTTAAGAAAAGACTGAAAAGGAGAACATAGTCCTGAAAAAGAGTAAGGACTCAGACAAGAAGTATCTTAGCCACCAGGAGTAAAACGTGCCAAACTACTTGAAAGTGATTGCCTTAATGTCATTTCATTTTATGAAAGTTTGGCTTCCCAAACTTTGATGGAGTTATTATCCCAAAGATATTTGATGGAGTTATTCTATTTATGTTTCTTTTGTATGTTTGGCAAGCTAGCTACTGATTCAATGACTGTTTCAGCTTTTTGTTCTGGGTAATGCCTCTCACTAAGCTTTAATGGTAGGCTAAAACTGGCAAGAAAAATGAGGTGACTATAAGATCTAATACCTTAGGGAAGTAAAGGTAGAGGTAAACGAAATCTATTGATGTTCAACTTCATATTTCTTTTTTTAACTTCATATTTCTTTTGCTTATAATTATTTTGTCCTGTTTTGAAATGTATAGACTTTTCATGAGTATAATTTTCAGTTAAGATTCAACTAGATTACTTTTTAAACTTAAAACTTAACTGATACCATTGCTGGCATGCAGTAGGCACTCAATAAATATCTTAGGTAAATAAACATTGACTTAATGTTTAGAAATAATAAGAAACAGTAAAGCTTGACTTTTATATTTTAAATTTCAGTTTTTACCACCTTTTCCCTTCCGTACTTCCATCAGCCGCCTTCATCAAATCAAACAGGTAAGAAGATTTTTGAAGCTGACAGCTGTTCATTCAGAAAAGTAACTTTTATTTTTCTTTTAAAAAATACCTATGTTTCAGTAATTCAAAGCAAGGTCATATATAATTAAGTTTTTAGTTCCAGATATGGTTTCTTTAAAAAAACAAAAAAACAAAAAAACTAAGGAGCCCACTCTTTATTTTGAGTTATTAACTATTTTAATAAATTGTTCATTTCCAGAAACACTACATACTCTCATATCTTGAATCTAGCATTTTCTTCCAGAGGTCTCAAAGAAGAATGCTATACATAAAATTAATGTTCAGGTAATCAAGGTAACAGTATTTATTATGACTTTTTTAGAACCCACAGATGAATGTTTTTGACAGATAAAATGGCCTTTTTGCTATTGCTTTGTGTTTGCTTCTTAGTGACCTGAGTGCAGGCATACATTGTACCTCACTGGTTTTTGGTTGTGTGTGTGTGTGTGTGTGTGCGTGCGTGCGTGCGTGTGTGTGTGTGTGTGTGTGTGTGTATACACATCCTCATGTGCATGTTTAATAGTACAAGCCTAATACATAATTAAACCTTTTAATTATCCAAGGATTAGTCACAGAACTCAAAAGATCAAATCACCACTCTACCACAGGTGGTAGAATTTTTTTGACCCAACTTCAAAAAGACTTCTCTTTTTTGTCAAGAGGTGCTTAACTGTTATGTAACATTTGTTATTGAGTTAGCACTGTATGGGTATTTTACATCTATGGTCTCATTTCATCTTGCAACAACTTTATAGGGTCAGAAACTAAAGAGAGGAGAAATTTACCCAATGTCCAGAGTTAGTGAATGTCAGAACCAAGATTTAGCCCCAACTAATGGATTCTTTTCCAGCTCCCCTTTCCCTGTTTCAGTGACACAAAGCCCATAACAGTGGCTTGTAACCCTAGTTGTTAGTCCTTCAACTCTTGCTTGCTTCTTTCCTTTTCACCCCTACACCGTGGCTTTGCAAAGGTCAGCTTAACCACTAACAAGAAAGCGTGGTAAAAACTTTTTTTTTTAACTTTTTAGTAGATAAAACTTCTTTTACCTCTTGTCTTTGTATACAGCTATTCTTAAAGAATGAAAGAACTTCAAACCAATACTTTAAGTGACCTTTGCTTTATCTGTAGATTGTTTCTGTACTTCCCCTAAATTAAACCAAATCTTTGGAAATTAGTTACATGTTGTCATTTGATCATAAAGCTTGAAATAAAGACTAATTTAACTGATTAGTAATTTAAATTGTAAGGCAGTTTATTTCCATAGTGACAAAATATATAATATAAACATTTAAGATGAAACACGAGTAGAAAATGAGTAAGATCGAAAAGTAGAAATAACATTAACTTTCAAGCTGGGAACTGATTGAATGGAAAATTAAGACTTATTTTCAGCAGTTTGATGGTCTGATAGATATCTTAAAAGTTGCATATTTCTTTATATGCATTCCTTTTTTTCTTTTTTATATGCAGTCTTTAACTGTGACTTCTTTTTTGCCGTTGAGCTTAACCTTTTAAGTACAAAACAGAATATCTGGTTCTCTCCCCTAATGACATTCTGAACTTTCACTTTAACAACATCAGTAAGGACATTGATTGTATTAAAATGGGGGGGGTGGAATACTAGTGGCTATCTCATAGGACTGTTGTGAGGATGAAAATAATTACAGTTAACCCTTGCACAACACAGATTTGTACTGAGTACTCTTATATACAAATAATATGGATCGAAAATACAGTATTCTCAGTCTGTGAAACATTCCTATATTTAGGGCTGACTTTTGGTATCCTCTGGATACCTTGGATCCTAAAAGGTTATTGTGAGCTTTGAATATGTGTGAATTTTAGTATACATAGGGGATGGGGGGGTCCTGGAACCAATTCCACTTGTATACTGGGGGGCAACAGTTATATATGCATAATGCCGGACACACCATTCAAAATCTTTTTAAATGGAAAATTTTAAACATATCCAAATTAGACCCTCCATGTACTCAACACCAGCCTTAACAATTATCGACATTTTATACATCATTTTTCATCTATCTCCTATTTTTTTAGGAGAGGAAAAGGTGTTTTAAAGTAAATCACTGACATATCTTTTTACCCAAGTTTATAGGTATGAGAAAGCCTTTTTCAAAAAACATAATTGCAATGCCATCATTATAGCTAACAAGTTAAATTATTTCTTAATTCCATGTTAAATTTTTCTAATTCTCAAAAATGCCTTTTTTACTAATTCAACTATGACATTTGGTTGATATTATCTCTTAAATCTCTTTTGTTTAAAACAGACTTCTCGTCCTGATTTTGTTCCAGTCCTGTTAAATGTACCACATTCTCATTTTGCTTCCATGTGGTATTAATATATTCTTTGCATTTATTTGTTTATTTGTTTGTTTGTTTGAACTGGCGTCTCACTCTGTCGCCAGGCTGGAATGCAGTGGCACAATCACAGTTCACCACAGTCTCGCCTTTCTGGACTTAGGCGATCTTTCTGCCTCTGCCTTCCGAATAGTTGGGATGACAGAAACATACTACTATGCCTGGCTAATTAAAAAAAAAAAAATTATAGAGACAAGTTCTTGCTATGTTGCCCAGGCTGATCTCGAACTCCTGGCCTCAAGCAATCTTCTTGCCTCAGCCTCCCAAAGTGCTGGAATTACAGGCATGAGCCACCATGCCCACCTGCTTTTATTTTTGAATAAGCACACAGCCCCAGGTCAGTGTTAAGTTCTGGGTCACTATTTAAGTAAGTGCGTGGTTTATGTTGTAACTTTCCTACTGAGCAGTTTTCATAACTGTGATTGTTAGCTGTTTTCTAAGTATTAGAGATCTTGAGACCATCAAGCTGAAAATTAATTTTCTAAACACTTAGTAATGCTTCCTAAATATTCAGAAATTATTATCTTTGTGTCATTCTCCTTTTCTGATAACAATTGAGCTTATATTTCAAAAGATTTGAAAGTATTCAGTCTGTAGTTCTCAATCTCCCAAATTCTAAGTATAAATAAGTGCCCTAAGAAATGGTTTGTGTATTAGTTTGTCCAGGTTTCCATAACAAAGTTTCACAAACTGGGTGGCTTAAATAGCAGAAATATATTGTGTCACAGTTCTGTAGGCTAGAAGTCTGAGATCAAAGTCTCAGTAGGGTTAGTTCCTTCTGAGCACTATGAGAAAAGGATCTGTTCCAGGCCTCTTCCCTTAGCTTGTGGATGGCTTTCTTTATGTCTACATGGTGTTCTCCCTGCATACTTGTCTGTTTCCAAAATTTATCTTTTTATAATGACAGCAGTCATATTGGATTAGGGCCCATCCTAATGACCTCATTTTAGCTTGACTACCTCTGCAAAGACACTATCTCCAAATAAGGTCACATTCTGAGGTAGTAGGGGTTAGGACTTCAACATATGAATTTGGAGGGAAACACAATTCAACCCATAACAGTTTGCTTACAGTATTTTGTTATTTCCTGACTTGTTGAACAGGATATAAAATTATTTGCACCTACTAAGACCTTGACTTTCTCTATAGTGTCTTAAGTAAAATCCATTTAAAAATTGTCTTCTTACGTACTACCTCTACATTTCTAGCATTCCTTGTATTAATATCTTTACAAATATATGTTTTAAGAACACATATTACAGTTTTCTATCTGGATTGTGCAAATTAAATTGAGGTTAGACACAAATGTAAGGGAACTATATGAGAGGAAGCCATTTAAAACACCTGCTGGAGTACATGTCATGATCATGATAGGCACACTTTAGATATCATCTGTGTCTGTGAGCTTTGTCCTCTGTCAACCAGGTTTCACACTTCACCTATCTTACGGACTTTGTCACCATTTTCTAGTATAGTAAAACATTGAAATTAGATTTTTGTGATATGCTTTTGATTTTTCTTTGGAACCTAATAAGTACCTGGTCTCTTTTATGAAGAGAAGTTCTTTAAGGGAATAGCCTAACTTGTTTTAAAAGAAATTTAATTTGTTCTTGGTTTACAAATTCTTTCATTTTTGAGTATTGCTTCATTTATTGAAACAATAGTTAGTTGCACTCAGCAACTAAAATCTTTCAGGCATAGTCTCAGAAAGCAAAAGTTGGTAACTTACTATTTCTGTTTTTACCTTGATTACTAAAAAAACTGAAAACTAACCCTAATGCTCAAGTGTAGTAACTCTCCTCAACCCAGGTTTCTAGTATACAGAGGTACTCTTTATACCTGACAGTTACATGGCTCTTATTTAAACATTTTTTTAAAATCTTTATTTTAGCAATCTTATTTTAAGTCATCTCAGATCCACTTAGGAAATATGCAAGATAAATGAAAGAGTCAAAACTCTTCTACCAGCAACCTGCAATAGCTGATGCTGGCTAATGCTCCAACTTTCAATGGGAGGAATATTAAGCACAATTCTGTCCCCATTCCAGAAAAACCTGCTGCTTACTTGTTGGTTGAATGAATTACAAATGCTTTGAGCTTCTCACTAGAGGAAAAAAATCTCTATAAATATTAAATGGAAGAACTATACTAACAAGTACATTTTTCTGAAAAGATTTATTATTATTATTCAATTGTTTTAAAAGACTTATTATCTTTTTAAATTACCTTTTCCAATTTCCTTCATTTTCCATAACAGTATCAAAATAGTCACACTCATACAGTTTTAAGACTTAAAGCTCTAGGTTCATTTTCAGTTCTTCCTTATTTTTCTACTGTATCCAATTAAGCTTCTAATCCTATTAATTTTTCCTTAACAACATCCTCTCTGTTCTCACTGCTACTTCCTTGAACTTCTGTCCCTTGGGTTCAGGTTACTGAAATAATGTCCTAATAGATTTCCTATCTCTTCCATTTTTAATACAAATTCCACAATCAACACCAAGATAACTTTTCTAGAACACAATTTTCACCTTTTTCTTTCCTACACAAAATGTTACAGTGACTTCCCATTACCTATGGAATAATAATAGCTAACATGCATTTTAAGTCATCTCAGATCCACTTAGAAAATATGCAAGACAAATGAAAGACACTTACTATGTGGCAGGCATTGTGATGAGAACTGTATAGCTCCCTCATTATTATCATCACCTTCATATGCATAAAGAAATTGAGGCTCAGGCTTAAGATTGCATAGGTAGTAAATTACAGAGCTAGGATTGACTCAGTTCTGTTTGGCTCCAAAGCTGGGCCTAACAACTATGCTATCCTGCCCAAACTCTAAATTCAAACACTTCAGTTACTCAGGACCATATAAATCTGGCCCTGTCTTACCTCTCCAGTTTCATCTTTCATTACTTTGTAGCACAAACTCTGTTTCAGCCAAGCTAGTCTCACTAACTCTAAATCTGTCATATTCTTTCCTTCCTTTTAACTTGTTAATATTATTTCTTCAGCTTGGAACACCCTTTCTCTCCATCCATTGCTTGCTTAGATTCTAAACATCTTTGAAGGCCTAGGTCAATTTTTAATTATTTCACATAACTCATACCACTCTTCTGTTATGAACTACCCAAAACATTTATTGTTTATACTATAGACCACAGTCTTTAAACTCTTTTGATCACACATTGCATCAGTAAAACAATGTTTGAGCACATGCCTCCAATATATGTATACTGTATTTGCTTATATATTTTGGACATGTACCACTGTGCATGTGGGAATTGTATTATGGGAATCATAGAATATATACATTAAAAATATATAGAAATATATTTTTAATGTATATATTTCTAATATTTCTAATACAGAAATATAGAAAATAATGAGATGAGAATGAAGAAGATAATGAGATGTTTTTAGAAAATTTAAAATTTTATTAACTATAGATCATTATTGAGAGTGAATATGAATTTACATTTCCAGTAGATGATTTAAAATTATTTTAGCTAGATCCTTGATAGATCAGAATAGCTCAGCATTGTGTTTTCACATTAATGTGCTATATGATAAGCTTTGCTAGAAGCAGCATAAGTTTTACCTTTGCCATTTTCCTGTCCAGAGTTTCTTCTGTCCAAGGTTTCTCTGTAGGAATCTTGTCAAGGCACTTGTTCATTTTGAGGGGGTTGTGTTAGTTAAAATTAGATAGTATATGGCCAACAAACATATGAAAAAAATGTTCAACATTAGTATCATCATAAAAATGCAAATTCAAACCACAATGAGATATCACCTCATACCAGTCAGAATTATTATAAAGTAAGAGGACAACAGATCTTGCTGTGATTGCAGGGAAAAGGGAACACTTATCCATTGTAAACTCATTCAACTTCTGTGGAACACAGATGGAGAGTTCTCAAAGAAGTAAAAATTGGATTACCGTTTGACCCAGCAATCCCACTACTAGAGATATGCCCAAGGTGGGGGGAATATATATAGATATATTTATCTCCTGTCCTTGTATGTTCATTGCAGCACTATTCACAAGAGTAAAACCATGGAACCAACTTAAGTGCCCACCAATAATTGACTGGATAAATAAAATGTGGTATATATACACCATGGAATACTACATAACCATAAAAAATAATGAAACCATGTCCTTTGCAGCAACATGGATAGAGCTGGAGATCATCATCCTAAGTGAACTGACTCAGAAACAGAAAACCAAACACTGCATGTTCTTACCCATATGTGGGAGCTAAATGGTCACAAAGATGGAGATAATAGACATTGGGACAACAATAAGGGAGGATGTGGGAGGGAAGTTAGGGTTCAGAAATTACCTATGAGGTACAATGTTCACTATCTGGGGAATGGGCCACCTGAGACCCAATCCCCACCACTGCGCAGTATGTCCATGTAACAAACATGGACATGTACCCCCAAATCTAAAATAAAGATTGAAAAAAACTAGATAGTATATTCATAAATCTTCCTAATTGGCATGGGTAAAATTCAATTAGTTGTAATTAGGTAAAGGCCTTGTCAAAAGTGTTGTTCCCAGCCGGGCGTGGTGGCTTAAGCCTGTACTCCCAGCACTTCGGGAGACTGAGGCAAGAGAATTGCCAGAGCCTGTGGGTTCGAGACCAGCCTGGGTAACATGGTAAGACCTCGTCTCTAGGTAACATGGTGAGACCTCGTCTCTACAATAAATTTTAAAAAAATTAACTGGGCGTGGTAGCACATACCTGCAGTTCCGGCTACTTGAAGGGCTGCTAAGGCAGAAGGATTGCTGGAGCCCAGCAGGTGGATGCTGGGGTGGCCATGAACGTGCCACTGCACTCCCGCCTGGGTGATGGAGTAAGACTCCAACTCAAAAATAATAGTAATAATAATACTTCCCTCATATGCTCTCTGGAACCTATGAGCTGAATAAAGGCTCCTGTGTTAATTTGTATATCTAATATCAGTAAGCCTTCATTTCTTACTGTCTTTGATAAATATAAAATTTCTGTTTTTTCTTTCTGATTCTCTCATCCCAAACAGAAGCTCTGTACCCATTAAACAATAACTCACTACCTCCTGTTCCATAACCTCTGTTCTACTCTCTTTCTCTATGAATTTGACTATTCTAGGTAACTCATATAAGTGAAATCATAGAATATATGTCCTTTTGTATCTGGCATATTTCACTTAGCATAATATTTTCAAGAATCATCCATGTTGTACCATGTGTCAGAACTTTATTTCTTTTAATGACTGAATAGTATTCCATTTTATGGATATACCACATCTTTTTTATCCATTTATCTGCTGATGGACACTTAGGTTGTTTCCACCCTTCAGCTATTGTGAAAAATGCTGCTATGAACATAAGTAAGCAAGTATCTACTTGAGTCCCTGCTTTCAGTTCTTTTGGATAGATACCTAGAAGGGAAATTGCTGGATCATTTGGTAATTCCATGTTTAACTTTTTGCAGAACCGCCAAACTGTTTTTCACAGAGTCTGTACCATTTTTCATTCCCACCTGTAATATTCAAGGGCCCTAATTTCTCCACATTCTTGCTAACAATTGCTATTTTACATTATTTTTTTTTAATGGCTATTCTAATGGGTTTGAAGTGGCATCTCTTGGTAGTTTTAGCTTGCATTTCCCTAATGACTAATGATGTTGAGCATTTTTTTAACGTGCTTTTTGGCCATTTGTATATATTCTTTGAATAAACATTTATTCAAGCCTTTTGCCTTTATTTTAATTGGGTTGTTTGTAGAATTTTGTTGTTGAGTTGTAGGAGTTCTTTATATCTTCTTTATATTAATCCCTTATCAGATATATGATTTGCAAGTATCTTCCCCAATCTCTGGTTATCTTTCTATTCTCTTGATACAGAAAAATTGTTTAATTTTGATGAAAACCAATTTATCTATTTTTTCTCCTTGTTTCCTGTGCTTTTGGTATCATATCCAATAAATCATTGCCAAATCCAATGTTATGAAGCTTTATCTCTATGTTTTATTCTAAGAGTTTTATAGTTTTAGCTATTAAAGTCTTTGATCCACTTTAATTTTTATATATGTTGTAAAGAACAGGGTCAACTTCATTATTTTGCATGTAAATACCCAGTTTTCTCAGCATTATTTGTTTAAAAAGACTGCTATTTCCCCCACTGAATGATCTTGGCATTCTCATTAAAAATCAACCAACCATATATGTGAGGGTTCTTTTGTTTCTGGGTTCTCTATTCCATTGGCCTATATGTCTGTTCTCATGCCAGAGCCACACTATTTTGATCACAGTAACTTTGTAAGAAGTTTTAAAATCAGGATGTGAGTCTTCTGACACCATTCTTCTTTTTAAAGTTTGTTTTGGCTACTCGGGGTCCCTTGATATTTCATATGAATTTTTCAGATAGGTTTTTCTATTTCTGCAAAAAACATGCATTGGGATTTTGACAGGGATTGTATTATATCTGTAGATCACTTTGAGTGGAATTGTCATCTTAATAACATTAAGTATTCCGATCCATGAACATAGGCTATCTTCCCATATGTGGCTTATTTTTTTAAGCTACTTATGTGAAAATGATACTTGCATTTTATAAAAAGTCAAACAATATAGTAAGGTCTAAAAAAAGAAAGAAAAAATTACTCTAAATCTCACTACCCATTTATAACCACTGGTAACTTTTTGGTGAACATCCTTCTGAGCACCTCTTTTACAATTTTATATAAATAGAACATATTTTTCTCCCACATAATATGTAATACTTGTTTTTTATGTCAGTAACTAGGTTTAAATTATGTTTGACTCATCATTCACTTAGGCAAACTCATACAGAAAGACAGTTTATTGTGGGCTGTAATATTTATTAATATCATAGTATTAATGGTAGAGAAAATGATATAATTTTGAATGTTTGATATTTTCTCTTTTGACTCAAAAAAGGTACAGTTTCTGTATATTTGATGTACCTTAATACATAAGTAATAGATCTTTGATGTGGCAATTTGTGCAGCAATAAAGGGTAATAAAAAGATACTTGTTTATAGATTCATTTACTGTCTAGCTCTTCTGTAGCCCAGTGAACAGACATAATTCAAATGAGCTGGGAATATGGCTCACACCTGTAATCCCAGCACTTTGGGAGGCTAACATGAGAGGATTGCCTGAATTCAGGATTTGAGACCAGTCTGAGCAACATGGCAAAACTGCATCTCTACAGTAAATCAAAAAATTAGCCAGGCATGGTGGTGCATGCCGGTGGTTCCAGCTACTTGGAAGGCCCAAGCAGAAGGGTTGCCTGAGCCCAGCAGGTCAAGACTGTGGTAGCTGTGAGCAGTGTGCTACTGCACTTCAGCCTGGGTGACAGAGTGAGACTCCAATTCAAAAAACAAAACAAACAAAAGATAATAATAATCCAAATTAAATTAAACTTTATAAAACCATAGGCACCATAGGAATATTCAGTTTATTCTTACTTTCCCACCTTTACAGGAAGAAATCATGGGCTTAACAAATAGGGAAACAATGCATGAAAGGTGAGCACTGTACTTTGAATTACTGTTCTGATAATGTGTATATTCAGTTATATCTTTTCTTTCAGACAGGCAGACTGCAGTACTGATTTCTTTTCTTTCATAGGGAGGTACAAACTGCAATACAGATAAGTCAATCCTGGGAGGAAAGTTTGAAACTGGTATGGTATTAACACTTCAATTTTGCAGAAAAGTTAAAATTTTTACTGACTTATAATATTGGTGTACCTAGTATTGCTGTGAGTTTTAGAATCTAAGCTCTAGTTTGAAACCAAAATAGTATCTGCTGCATAAATAATTTTTTATTTCTCTTAAGTAACAGTTTATGATTTACTCATAACAATAACTACCATTGCTTGGAAGAAGGGTTCAAAGTAATCAGTATGTGATACAAAGCCATGGCTGTTGTGAGCCAACTTCCTCTCTCTCCCAGTAGGCCTAAAAAAGTTCATTGTGCTACTTAAAATGCTTAGATGACAGAACAATAAATGACTTCACTTTCTTTTACATAATTTATTTAATATATATTAAAGTTTTAAACCACAAACAGTAGATTTACCAGAAAAATATGTGTTTTTATGCCCGTAACACATATATTCCCACTAACATTTTAACATACAAACTTTAACCTTATTTAGAATTTAGTTACATCTCTTGTTAACATTTTTAATGTTTCTGTAGCATTTTTAATGTCTGTTACTTCATTGTGATAGTTGAACGATGTTTAGTGTTCTTTTACATGGATATCCCTGATAATGACAGAACAAGAATTGAGCTGAAATTTCAGTAGGAGAGATTCTGGTTAATGTCTATGTCTAGATTTGGAAGTTATTAGATAAGGAAATGGGCCATCAACATAAGGCATGACATCTTACTTTCCTTTGATCCCTGAGTGCTTTAGATGGGTAGCTATTCCTGATTTTGGAGTAGGTCCTGAAGAATGAGTGAATAACCCAACATCTGGAGCCTGTCACTTTTTATGTTTTGGTGCTCATACAATTGATAGTTGCTGTTGGAGTCCCTTAACTCACCCAATTATAACTGCTTTAGGTGTTGGCAGCAGTGAGTAAGAGAATCTGCAAGTGTGTTAGGAGGAGGAAGGGAACATGTAATATACAGATTTAACTTAGCTTGTGTTTCAGAAAGAAAAGAGCAGATTTTAAAAGCCTGAATTGAGCCGGGCTCGGTGGCTCAGCCTGTAATCCCGTGCCTTTGGGAGGCTGAGGTGAGTGGATTGCCTGAGCCCGCGGGTTCGAGACCCGCCTGGTCAGTGAGACCTCATCTCTACAATAAATAAAAAAATCATCCGGGCGTGGTGCCTGTAATTCCGGCTACTTGGAAGGCTGAGGCAGAAGGATCGCTGGAGCCCAGCAGGTCAAGGCTGCGGTGGCCGGGAGCAGCCACTGCACTCCAGTCTGGGTGACAGAGTGAGACTCCAACTCAAATAAAATAAATAAAATAAAAGCCTGAATTATGAAGTACTGATTTTGTCTACATAAAGTCTACAAACTTTTTTTATAAATGTAGTTATTCCTGCTGTCTCATTTGTATTTTAATTCTAACCAAATGGTTTTTGGTCCTTTCCTGGACATAGTATTATAGTTTTCAATAACAAAATACAGTTCAAACTCAAAGAGAAAAGCTTGTATTTAGAGTTTGTATTTATGGTATGTATTGCTTAATACTGAATACTCTCATTCTAGGCCTTTCCGGGTCACTGGAAAGCCCCTCAACCACCATATAGCTCTTTTCCCTAAAAGGCAAAGCATGCCTTTGCTTATTAAAGTGAAGCTTGTGTTCCCTGCTTACTTTAGGATGGTGAGAGCTCCTCACCATGGTACAGCTCGTGACTCAGTAGTAAGGACTCCCTTCCCCGTGTTACAGCTACCTTCCTAAATATTTGATTAGTAAGCAATTGGTGCTACAATTGTACACTGCTTTCTGCTTACACAGAGTGACAAGAATGTAGAGAAATCATCCTCTCTAAAGTACACTGATTTAATTCCAGTATCCCCAGCGGCTTCTCCCACCAGGGGGGTTGGGAAGGTAAGAAAGAAGTGCCTAAAATTCTATGTCCCTTGAAATATCTAGGAAACATTAATGATCACCCACTCAAGTCTTTTGGGGAATATATTTTGCCATAGTATATCTGATTCTAAGTGATGGCTCTCCCTTTTTTTCATTTCTTAAAGTTGTTTACATATAATAAAATTCACCAACTTTGAAGTATACAGTTTAATTAACTTTGGTAATTGTGTACAGTCCAGTAACCACAACCATACTCTAGATATAGAACAGTTCACATACTCTAAACAATGTCCTCATGATCTTTTCCACCTCTACCCTCACTATCCCTGCCCCACTACCCATGCTCCCCTCCACCCCAGGAACCCAATGGTCTGCTTTCTGAGAAAAGCGGTGGTTTTAAAACCTCTGTTCCAATTTGATTTTAGCAATATTTTTCTCCATCATTACAAACTTGTGTGAATTGCACCGGTATACCTTCACATCTTATTCCCAGCCCTACGCAACGATGTGCAATGTAAGTTTATATTGTATGAAAATACCAAATTGCTTATAAAATAAGAATTTTAGAAGTAAAAGAAATTATGCTTCCAGATTTTGTGGCAACCAAAGAAATGATTTCTTTTTAGTGAAATTAAAATATCATTATTTGGGTTTATCATTTTTGTATATTGAAAAAAATCAAGTAACTGAGAACATGTGAAGAATAATTCCTTAACCCAAGATTATGCTTGAATAATCTTTCTCTGACCAAATTTGTTAATAAGGATCAGATCTACCTCTAGAACTTTAAACAGTTTCATCCATGACTCTCACCTTGATTCAAAGCAAGTCTCACCCAGGACTGCAGGTCCTTCTAAACTATAGGATTCCAAATCCTGAATCCTTGTAAATCGGAGGCTGGTTTGCTCCTGCACCATTCCTGTTTTGACCATATATAGAGAAAACGGTAAAATGATGTGATACCATGTCCTATACAAAGTCCAATTATTTTGTATGTCCTTAGATCTGTTATAATGAAATAGTCATTGCTTATTTTGTTCAATTATTTTGGTAATGATCATGATGATTTTATTTTAGAAGAAGTCAAAAATCCCACCAACATTATTAGACCGAGTGTCCTTGGACCACTAAAAAGAAAAGGTACTTTTATTTACCAGCAGAAGTAAATAAAACTTTAAATTATTTTTATAAAATATCTAAAATCAAGTTATACAGACATTTATTTTTAAAGGATTTATTCATTTAAAATATATTTGATATGTTACTAGAGGCCTTTCATTTTACCCAAATGGAAATATGTATAAAGATATTTTGAAAATGATAAAGTGCTTTATAAATGTGAATTGAGACTTTAATTTCAGTTTAGTTGGCTGTTATGATTTTCATTATATAATTCACCAATCTAACTGTATTAATTACTTTCTGAAACATGATGGGGGAATGAATGAACAAATAAATACAGCCAGTCATCAAGTATTTTGCTGAATCTCAACCCCTGCTGTACTGGCCCATGTATACATTGATATCATGAATAAGTTGGCCCAAATTAGATCTACTTACACAACTAAAAATATATGCGAAGGTGTATGTTCTTTGATGTTTAGCTTCTTTATGGGAATTATTTTGGGTTAAATATATGGAAGGTGACCCACTTACTCGGTAACAAAAGAGCAGTGGAAAGAACAGAAGTGTGTGTGTGTGTGTGTGTGTGTGTGTGTGTGTGTGTGTGTGTGTGTGTGTTTTAAACTCCCACAGTCCTGGATCCCACTTCTCAATGCTACCTCCCTAAGCTATGTTCTTCCTTCTTTTTAAATACCACGATTGAATTATATATTTAGTATAATGTTTAACTGCAATAGGAAAGGGGAAATGGGTAAATAGAAAGGATATTAAACTTAAAAATGTGTGTTTGTGAAAAATCCACTAAGATGGAAAAGAGGAAGAAGAAGAGCTAAACTATAGGAAATAAATTAAAAGATATTTTGATATTCTGTATATTTGGGATTAATTAATCACAGTCTTCTTAACATCATACGTAACTCAGCATGGACTTTTTAAATTCTAAGAATAAGATTGGGCTGGGCTCGGTGGCTCAGCCTGTAATCCAAGCACTTTGGGAGGCTGAGGTGAGTGGATTGCCTGAGCCTGCGGGTTCGAGACCTACCTGGGCAACTTGGCGAGACTTCATCTCTACAATAAATCAAAAACAAAAAAAAAAATTAGCCGGGCATGGTAGCACATGCTTGTAGTTCCAGCTACTTGGAAGACTGAGGCAGAAGGATCGCCAGACCCCAGCAGGTTGAGGCTGCGGTGGCCAGGAGCATGCCACTGCACTCCAGTCTGGGCAACAGAGTGAGACTCCAACTCAAAAAAAATAAAATAAAATAAGATTGGATAAATTCTAGAAAACACTTCTAAACTAAGCACATTATTTTATGAAGATTTATCAATAAATAAGTTCAGGGTCTTTTGCCTGTGTTGTGAAGTTTGGGCAAGTGTTGAAAAAATATTCAAATATATCATATCAGTTTAAGAGCTGTTAGGGCCAAGTGAGGTGGCTCACAGCTGTAATCCCTACACTTTAGGAGGCTAAGGCAGGAGGATCCCTTGAGCCCAGGAGTTCAAGACCAGCCTGGGCAATATAGCAAGACCTTATCTCTACCCCCCCAAAATGTAATCAAGTCTAACTATGTCAAAATTCCAGATACTTTCAATGTAATAAAATATTCTATGTACAAATGTCTTAAAAGGAGAATTATTTTAATTTGGTAAAACACTATCTTCAGTGTAAGAAGTTGGGGATTTTTAGACTATTTAAAATAAAATATGCTTACATTGAAGATAGTGTTTTGCCAAATTAAAATATTTCTCATTTTAAGACATTTATACATAAAATATTTTATTACATTGAAAGTGCCTGGAATTTTGACATAATTAGACTTGATTTCTGTCAGTGTCTTAGTAGATGTGACATGTTTCACACAAGCCTCTTGTACCTGATTTTCAGCTGCTTAAGAGGACAGCTGCCTTATTTCCTTGAGGTATCCCCAAGGGAACTCCAAAATGAACTCTGTGTATACCACATAGTCCATACTTTAAGTTGTAACCTCCAAGCATACCCTCGACAAATTTGGTGAAAATTCATCTGGCCATTTTAGATAGAAATCTGATTTTATTTATATATTTTGAAGTATGAATATTCATTTGGGAAACATCAAACTATGTCCTATTTGGAACCCATTAATACAAATGAAATGTGGAGAGAGATGGTATAAAAATGAAACAGAGGTCCTGAGGGGGAGAAAAAGCTAAAAAGAATGAGGACTCTGCGTGGAGAAGAGTGTGAGATCAAGATTAGAGTCTCCAAGCATGTGAATGCATATTTCATAGAGATAAGCAGCAGTTACTCCCATTAGGAATAAACAAGAGCAAATAAGGCTTCACTGGGGATTCTAAGAAACCTGCAGAAATTGGGCAGCTGTAAATAACGTTTTACAAGTAATGCTGGTTTTAGCAAAGAAAAATTTAATTTTCTTTTACGATAAATTTGTTTTGATTTCTCATGTTTTCATTTTAAACTAAAAAGAAGAGATGAGTAGTTTTTCTATCACGGCCTATGTGTAATCTGGCAAGGGGCAGGGTACCAGACTTCTTTTGAGCTTTGTGAGCCATGATACACTCCTAAGAAAGGTCCTGGAATCTCTATCGCTAGGGATACTATTTAATGGTGATCTTAGAGTTGTGTCATTCAAATTGAAGTTATGGGTTTGAATGTCAGTTTTTCTCACATTCAGATATAGTTATGTGAATATTAAACATTGAGCAGATTTTAACATTTACATCAAGGCAAAGATTATAGCAATGCAACTTTCTGAGAATAGATGTTTCTCCTTAATCTCTAAAAGTATATTTATTTTGTCCATTGTGTGCCATAAAAGAATTTATTTAGTTCTTTATGTTTAGAAAAATAAAGACAGCCACAACCTAAAGTTTTAAAATAAGGAATAAGATTAAAATTATTGAACAGTCTTACTACATAGCTATATAAAATTATGTTGTAGAATTTAGTTATAATATAAGACAATAGATGTTTCTCCTTAATCTCTAACAGTATATTTATTTTGTCCATTGTGTGCCATAAAAGAATTTATTTAGTTCTTTATGTTTAGAAAAATAAAGACAGCCACAACCTAAAGTTTTAAAATAAGGAATAAGATTAAAATTATTGAACAACCTTACTACATAGCTATATAAAATTATGTTGTAGAATTTAGTTAATAATATAAGACAATGATAATCATTGAAAACAAAAAGTAGAGTAAAATCATTATTAAATATGCTACATGCCTTATTTTGCTTTAAAAAACAATTATGTATACAACATACCTCTACATAATGGTGACTTAAAATTTTTTCATCATGTTTTTTCTGTATTTTTATAAATTAATTTCAATGAACAAATATTATTTTTACAATTAAAAGCATAATAAACGTGTTAAAAATATATATTCCTTGATCTACTATTTTTTCATAGGTGAAATGACACTTGGATATCAACCAAAGAGGCTTTTCCAGGGCACAACCAACATGCTTTCTTTTAATACTTCCCAACTGTCGGGAAATAATGTGTGGTGAGTACTAACAAGAGGTTTTAAACATTCATTGGCCATTTTCCACTTGGTTTTAAAGTCTACTTTGGCTACTATGAAGGAGAACCCAAAAAATGGAATTTATTTATAAAAAATTGTGTATTTATTCTTACATATTTAAGCTTTAGTCACCTTCAAAGTACTCTCCGTTTAATGCCATACACCTACTGAGACACTTTTTCCACTGCTCGAAAGAGTTTTGATGACTTTTAGTGCTTCTGCTGTTTTTTGTTTCGCCTCTTCCACATTGGCAAAATGTTTTCCTTTGAGAACTTTTTTCATCCTTGCTCAGGGATGAGATAGGGTGACTAGGGAGGATGGGGCATGGGGATCATGTTGTTTTTGGTCAAAAACTGCTGAACACTCAGCATGGTGTGGGCAGGTGAGCTTATAAATCACCCATAATGAAATGGGCAAGCGCTTGAAGGAGTCTAAAAAAAAAATTCACTGACTCTTTACTTGGCTTCTCAAGGTGCTAGGATTACAGGAAAAAAAATTCACTGAAACCGAACAATACTAGCTGGTATACTGATACCGATGGGTTCCAAGCGGGGGAAGCATGTACTTCAAGGGGTCTACCCTCCAAAAAATAATTTTGATATTTTTGGGTGCCCCCTCATATATTCAGAAGTATGCTACATTACTAAATGTCTTTAGTAGTTATAAAACTAACATTCCAAATAGATACTATCAGTTTGAATTCTTTTCTCTAACATTTATGTGAGATTAATATATGGTAGATACATTTTTAGAAGCGGGTTTTGGGCGTTAGATTAAGAGGCATTAGAGAAGTCTATAGAAATGCATCTTTGGAAAAAAAGTTATCTTCTGCCCATCTTGGATTTTTGTCTGCTTTGTTGGTTTGAAAGTATTGTTGAAAAGTATTCTTTAAAAGCATGTTTTAATAATAAAAATGGGAAACACAGGAATGGACTTTTATTTATTGTTACTATTGGTTTTGTTGTATGGCTTTTGTGGAACTGCTTTTGTGACTAGTGCCAGTTGTTTATATCATGTATTTTTTCTTCATGTATAGACAAAGCAGAGTACACAAAGAGAACTCTTGAATTCTGTTATCAATGAGTAGTTTCTTCTCCTAGTCTACTTTCAGATACTCTTGAGGGAAACAACAGGAACACTTAATCTTCACCAGCAAAAATCTGTACTATCACAAACTCTCCTTGTCAACTTCTGATACAGGTTCTCCACTTATTTTAGTAGATGAACTTTCTACTAAATGATTCACCTATCCCAAAACTTTTTTTACCAATGGAGATACACACACACACATACACACACGCAGACGTGCACATGTACATACACACACACACTAAGTTAGAGCTATAACAGTATTGTTTGGTATGAGTTAGTCTATTTCCTACTTATCTTTTCCCCTGTCAATTTCCTAAAATTCTGTTTATCTTTAGAACTTTTATGTCTAATTCTGGAGTATGCCCTTAAATTTAGTATAGTAATGTTTTCAAAGATCTTTTTAAATAAGAACTATTTTGCAGATATAATCATAGATCTTTAAGGTGCTAATGTCCAGAAAATGCTACACCCTGACTTTTAAAAAATAATATGAAATATAATTGCTCAACTAATGAACAAGGTAAAATTATATTTGAAAATTATGTACTTAATGTCCATGCTAGTTTTAGTAATATTTTCAGTAATTGCTAGTTTCCACTTGGTAAATAAAAGTCATCAATCTAGGGAAATTTTTAAAACTAAGCTAGTTATACCATACTGATCTATGATTTCCTATTTTGCATGTGAATCCTTGGACATTTAATTTGTTGAGAAGGAGTAGGTAGGAGAAGAGTAAGATGAATAAAAAATAATTGAGGCAAAAGATTTATATGATCTGAAGAGAAGCCAGAGTATATTGAAAGATAATGAAAGAAAATAGATATGTAATTGGGGCTTCACTCAATTTGTACTCAACCTGATTAGCCCTGCCTGATCAATTTTGTATTCTAATTAAGTGTGGAAAAAAGACAATGTTGATAAATTGTGGTCTTTTATATTTTTATGAATTACCTTTTATTCATCATCATGACTACTGATTTGATTAAATACAGGCTTAATATATTAGGGCTTTTCTGCAAAAATAATGTGCTTCCAATTGTTCCCTAAGGGCTATAAATGTTTGTTTAAACCCTAATTTTCTATTCAAAAGTCTTAAAAATTTTAAATTTAAATAAGTACTCTAAGTAATTGGAGGTAGTATTAGCATTTTGAAAAGTAGAAACGTATCCTCATGAAATGAAGCTGAGAATGGTTTAAATTGCCTCAGCTAATAAAGCTGGAACAGTTGTCTAAAATATTTATTAAAGATTTTTTTCTTTTCATTGGAAATAATCAGAATGATGAAAATCTGATGTAGATATGCCCCAATATGGGAAAAAGACTATGGCACTAAGAATTTTTTGACAGTGACCCTGATGGAATTGATCAGAATAGATATGTAAGTGTATGAAGATTCTATTTAATTATGAACAAATGAAACTGAATATTTATGAGATGACTAGGATCATGATGGTCTCCTGAATCTGGAACAGAATTCTATAAGTTGGCTAAGAATAAGTAATTTAAACATTGCCTTTGTTACTCAGGTTTTTATATGCCCCACTTGGTGGACCAATTGTGAGCATGTAAGAGGGTCCTCATAGAATGAGATGTGGTTGCAGTTATGTTTCTTGCTGAAATTGTAGATCATTGACAGACAAAAAGGTCCATGTGCACTATTTTTACTTTAGCTGGAGAGAGTTTTGCAGAGTGTTCAAGTACAAGGATTGAGAATGGAGAAAGTAAACAATAGGTGCCAGACTACTCAGTTGTACAAGGAATTTTTATCAGAAAATCTTGGTAACCTACAGTGTCTCAATACATTTTTCTTAACTCAGAAAATTCCTTTCACTCTATTCAGTTAGTTATCATTGTTTTAGCTGTACACTAGGATGCCACAATTCACTGTAATATGCTCAGAATCAAGGATTCCATAGTTGGTTCTCTACTCTGTTTCCTTTTGCACTTGTGTATTGGGAGGATCCATTTCTTAAATTATTTTCCATTTGTTGGTTTTTCAGAACAAAATGTTTGTAATTTTTACATGATGTATTGTGGTTGATTTTTCCAAATTATGGTAAAGCTGTATTTTGTCTTCCTGAACTTGCCAGGGAATTATATCAGTTTTCTGTAGTGGAAGACATGTATTAGTTTCCTATGCCTGCCATAACAAAGTACCACAAACTGGGTGACTGAAACAATGAAAACTTAACTTTTCTGAGTTAAGTTAAGTTCTGGAGGATAAAAGTCCAAGATCAAGGTATTCACAGAGTTGGTTCATTCCGGAGGCTCTGAGGGAGAATCTGTTACATGCTTCTCTCCTAGCTTCTGGTGGTTGCTGGAAATCCTTGGCTTGCAAACACTTCACTCCAACTCTGCCTCTATCATCATATGGGATTCTCTCTGGGTCCCTTCGTCTTCACATGGCCTTTTTATAAAAATACCAAGTCACTGGATTTAGGGCCCTCATCTTACCCTGACTACATCTGCAAAGAACCTGTTGCTAGATAAGGTCAAACACAGGTTTTGGGGGGGTTTAGGACTTCGTCATATCTTTTGGGGGACACAATTCAACCCATAAGAGTATAATTTTGGAAATTTTATTATGCTCGTTTCATTTTTTTTAAATTCGTTTTAATTGTCTATTTTATGTCCCCTTAAAAATAAGAGAAAAAGTGGTAACTATACAGCATCATTTCAAGCCTTAAGTATGTGTTCATGTATTTTTATTTTACTTATAACCTATACAAAGCAGATCTCCAAATTTACCCGATGATTCATAGAGATTCAACATGAAAACTCACTGTAGTAATGAGTTGGATTCTCATATCACAAAATATATATATATTTTTTAAATTTATGATGACTAAATTAAACAATAGATCTTGTAATTTCTAGTATATTCAGTAAATATCTAATGAATACTTTGTGTGTACAGGAAGCTGTACTAAAAATTGTAGATATTTGAGGATGAGTGAGATACAATATCTGTCTTCAGGCAAGATAACATAAGTACAAAAAGAATAATGATACACGGCAGTCTATGATGACTCTAGATACACATAAAATGGACCCCTTTACTATAAGGTAGGATAGAAAGATAATATTGAATCCTGTTCAATATTATCATTATTATCAATCTGGAACACGATTCTCTAAGTTGCCTCCCAATAAATAATTTATAAACATTGCCTTTGTTACACACCTTTTTTACTTCCCAGACTTGGCAGACCAATTATTATCATATAAGAGGGCCCTCATTGAATGAGATGTGGTTGCAGTGATGTTTCTTGCTGAAACTGTAGATCATTGACAGACAAAGAGGCCCACATGCACTATTTTTATTTTAGATGTAGAAAGTTTTGCAGAGTGTTCAAGTACACAGACTAAGAATGGAGATAGTAAATAGGGGCAAAACTACTCAGTTATACAAGGAACTTTTGAAATCATAGATTCTTAGAATTCAAGGATTTTAGAAGTCTTTTAATCTACCTTTCAATGCTGCAACTTTTTAAAGAGTTTCATACAGATTTTTTTTTTTTTTTTTTTTTTTTTTTTTTTTGTGGTGGAGTCTCACTCTGTTACCCAGCCTGGAGTGCCGTGGCACACTCACTGACACCCCTCTGTCGACCTGCTGGGCTCAGGTGATCCTCTACCTCAGCCTTCCAAGTAGCTGGAACTACAAGCATGCCCTTCCTCACCCAGCTAATTTGTTTGTTTTTTTAGTGTAGATGTGAGGTCTTGCCATATTGCCTGGGCTGGTCTCAAACTCACGGTCTCGGGCACAGACAGATATTTTTTTAGCCTTCATTTGAAATCTTGTAGAATTGAACTAACTCCCTCCCCAAGCCAGTTCATTCTATTGTTGGACAACTGTCACAGTTAGAAATTATTTACATTAAAAAGGGAGGGGTGGGTGTAGAGCTTGCATTTAGGTGTCCTGTTTCATTGACTTTTTAGAATTAAGGCAAATCAAATGAGCTATTAAAAGCATATGAGTTTAACATTCTAATTCTGCGTTAATCTTTGTCCCTGCTCCTTGAATTATTAGTACTCCCACTACAGGATATATTTAATTTCATCTCTTAAATGAATTTTTAAAATTCACCTTGAAGCAACTATATATAGATATCCATGATGAAAATACATGTGTGGTACCTTAGATTCTACGAGGAAAACTAATTACAATTTGCCTGAAGTGTTTTTTAAATATTTTAGACCTTAAAAGTTGAGATTGAAAAATCTATCACATAGGTAGACTTCACTGTCAGATAGTTGAAATTGTGCACTTAGAAAAGGCCAGGTAACCATAAATAGTCGGACAAAGAGTTAGTTTTGTTTTCCTGAAATTCCACAATGTCTCACAGATTTCTTCCAGTGTGGTTTTTAACCCGAGTAAACAAGATTAATTTCCACAAGTGTCTATATAGGTGGAGAGAATCATACACTGTATTGGAATCTCAGAAACTTGCTCAGCCCTCTTGATAGTGGGATATTTAATGACCATGGTCTCTCAGAAGAAATGCATGGAGTGAATGCAGTTATTAAGTTAATCCTATACGTTGACTAATAGCTACTATGTATGCAATTGGAGATCTCTGTGGTTTTACTGACAGCCAAGAAAATTGGTAACATAATTGCTCATGTCAACCTTTTAGGAGAGTGACCAAACTATATTCTTAGTAAATATAGGAGTGGGGAGAGCTGACTTGTAGTCACAGCTCTGCCATTAGCTCTGTGTGGCTTTGGGCAGGTCACTTCATCTCTCTGGGCTTTAGGTGCCAATCTGTAAAATAGAATTGAAGTAGACATTTATTATATTATATTATATTCCTTCTGCTTCTTAAGATTTTATTGATTCTGTGAAAACATCTGCCTTCATCTTTGCTAGCATGACAGTGAAAGTCATGGTGGCATTAAACTTAAGAACACTTTAAGAAAATATTTATTTAGGAAATTAGAGCTTTATACCTAATATTTTTATTATTTCTGGAAACAAGAAACTCATTTTGTTCAGCCTCATCAATACTTTCCTCTCTTCTCTGAATTATGCATGATTTATGATGAAATGTGGAAAGCTAATTTCCCCCTGGTTTCTTGTTTTGTGTGAATAAATGATCCTCT